CAAGTGTTGTTGCAAAGGGTCTGAATACTTATGCCAATGTGATATTTCAGTTTTTCTTTTTCATATATTTGCAAACATTTCTAAAATTCTGCTTTCACTTTGTCATTATGGGATACTGAGTGTAGATTAATGAGAAAAAAAATGAATTTGAATGATAGTATCAGGCTGCAACATAACAAAATTGAAAAAAGTGAAGGGGGTCTGAATACTTTCGGAATGCACTGTAGTTTTGCCTCCTTACCTATACATTTTCTCTTAAGAGGTTGACCCAGCAAGCTACCTGAACTATATAAATAATACCTAAATTTAGAAGGTTCTTCAGCCTGGCCTGGTATGATGCCCTGCCTACCACTGTTTTGGAAGGGAAATTCAGAAGAGTCCCTTATAATGACCAATTATAATTTGATACACAAACTACAATGAGTCTATTACTTCCTGTAACCTGGATACAATGGATGGATTCATACCATGCTCCAGGTCCAAGTTTAGATTTAACAAAACATAGTTCCTATGTTCACATAATATACTGTGTCTAAAATAAAACTAAATTGTAGTTTAACATGATAGCATGTATGAACTAGGCTAAGGCAACACAATTAGCAGCTCCCATTTTAGCCAAGCATCACATGCTATGCTACTCCAGCTTATTTCTGTTGATGTAGGCAAGATTGCATGAACTTTTGCAGCTGTTGAATTGAGCAGCACACTGAGTAATTAACAGTACAAATCTTTCTGGAACGATGTCCCAGATAATAATGGCCAAGACAAATAATTTAATGACTCCAGCCAAGTCCTTGGCACCATAATGTGGAGTATTTGCAAAGACTGACATGTTAAGGATACAATATTCATAATCCAACCCTTTGTGCAATAATATATCAGCAGTGATATATTTAACATAAGCAAGTATGGGCAAAGATGAAGTATTAAATGGCCCAATGATTTATTTATTGACTTATGATATTATGGAATGGGGATTTACCTCTTGGGTCATATCACTGATGGATGCATTGAGGCTTTCACTGGAACAGGAATCTATTTGGCTTTTCATGGATTTGCTTTCTTCAGCTGCATCTAAGGATTTCTGCCCCAATTTATCACATGGGTGTTTCAGTTCTTCAAAAGCTGTGGTGTTTCCTCTTATCACTTCATCATTTGCTAAATCCATTTTGGATGTCAACGCTTGAGTTGCTTCATGAACCATTCTCTCCTTTTCAGCAACTTGAGAGAGCAACATTTCTTTTTCTGACATCAGCAAAGTAATCGTCTCAGTTTTTTCAAGTAACTGTTAATAAGACCAAAGGCATATGTTATGAACAGAATACTAGAGAACAGTTTTTGCTGCCTCTGTTGTGTTTTCAAAACTGCATGTTAACTAAATAATGGAAGATAATTGTTTTAGTTTCTAGGCCTGCTTTTCTAAATTGAAATCAATTTGATGTCCATTCTTAATTATTCCAAAATGATCAAAAGATTACATATCATTATCTTGCTTTAATGTTGAAAAAAATCTTGTAGAGTCTTGCTCTATTTTCCTGGCTGATGTCTACAGCTATTTCATCATCATCACCACTACCAATCAATCCTGCCTTCTAACAAATTCTAGACTGCCCAATTTTAGCAATCTCTAACATTCCATTCTCCAAATATGAAAGAAATCAGAAGATAATGCCCCAAGGACAAGCAGCACTGTGATTACTAATACAATTTTCAAATGCTTTTGAAATCATTAAAGCAGCTGCCTCTTTTTTCAGTACTGGGTAGCTGCTTTGGAAGCTACTCCAGGAGACAACTATTCACATTGCTGGGAGCAGATTCTGAAGTAACTGTGCACACCTGGGAAAAGACACTGCTTGAAAAGAGGTGCTTGGTCCCTATTCCTGTGCATTTGAAAGCATCTCTTTCAAAGGATTTGCAAAGCTCTAGTAACTAATTACTGATGGACACAAATTTTGCTAAAAATCAGTAAAATTGTTTACAGTGCTGGAATAGCTCATCACTGCTAGAACTCTGTTTTAGGAAACAGTAAAGAAAATTTACTGTTTATTCTGAAAAGGCAAAATATTTCACCTGAAAATAGGATGGTGCTATAGAAAATGGTATCTAATAATTTCCAATAATTCATGCAATAGTTTTACCTCTTTGTGGAAGATTTCAAGATCCAATCCAGAGTTTGCTTCTGATAATGCAATTACTTTTTCCTTTAAACTCATGTTCTCTTCCAAAGCTTTATTCAGCTCATTTTTTAAATCCTCCATTTGCCTTTCCAACTCCACACATGATAGCAAGTCTGGAAAAGAGAGAGAGACGGATTAGGCTCCCATGGCCAAACTTGATCACAGAAATGAAGGACGATTGTACTGCTGAATTGATTGTTCTATACACAGGAAGCTACCTCATGGGAAGCCCATACTGTCAACAGCTCTTTTGTTTTCATGCATTTTTGCAGCCTTACTTGGAAATACTGGAGATCAAACCTTGGACCTTCCACATGAAAAGCAAGGGATCTATCTCTGAGCTACAGCCCCAGTTCTTATTCTTTGTACATTTTGGCTGCAGTGAAATTCCTTGCTAAAGTACAGAGTAATTTATATCCTGAGTTTTGCAAATGACAATGCTGAAAGAAACAGAAAACAACAAAACATCTGGTCAGATTATCTGCAGGACCGCCCCCCCCAAGGACATCTACCCGTCCTACCAGATCAGGGCATGCTCCTAGCCCCTTCCCTTAAACATTGCCATCTTATGGGATCTAG